TCCAGGGACGGGGCATTCACAACCTCTCTTGGCAGCCTGTTCCAGCACCTCACCATTCTCTCTGTAAAGAACTTCCCCTTGATATTGAACCTAAACCTTCCCTCCTTCAGCTTAAAACCATTTTCCCTTGTCCTGCTATTATCTACACTTTCAAAGAGTTGACTCCCTTATAGGCTCCCTTTAGGCTGCAATGAGGTCACTCCTCAGTCTTCTTTTTCTCCAGGCTGAACAAGCCCAGCTCCCTCAGCCTGTTTTCATAGGGAAGGCAGACATTTTAATAGTTTTTCTTCCTTTTTTTCCCAGAATCCCTTCCGTCCCATCAATATGACATACATCTTGTGGTACTTGGGTTCAAATATTCAGTACCAGCCCTCAGTCATAGTTCTCTGCAGTAATCACTAAACTGCTATTGTCTCAGTATTCTGCTAATACTAAGAAAATGCATGCAGAGGAGTGGAGCAATTCCTTGAAACTACCTAGAAACTGAAAGCCATTTATCAAAAAATGTGATTTTTGCTCAGTAAAACATGGCTGTCAGAAAATCCTGACTGGTTGGGAGTGTGGGCCTTGTCCAGTCAGAACTAGTTAAGGACTGGGCTGACGTGCCAAGATGTTTCACAAACACCACCAAAACGTCTGTCACGAGTCACAAGATTCTTTTTTTAATTTCCCCGGGACATAACAACCTGGCCTGGTTTCATGTATTATAGATGAATAGTGAATGCTTCACTATAAATCCTGGTGAGTTCTCTTCCAAAATATTTTTTCTGCAACATTTAAAAATGTAAAATAATTATGATTTAATGCTTAGTATGATGTAGCTTCTACAGGGATGGAGAGGACTTTTATTAGTCTTTCTTGTGAATAACACTATTACTTTATACTTTTGCTTATTTGTTCCATTTTTGCTATAGTGACTTAACTGTCAGTCTTCATTCTTCTAACCCTTTATTCATTGTCAGCTGCGGATAATCTGCTAGCCCACATGAGAGGGCAGGTTACATTCAAAGGAATTTACTTTGGTTTAGGGACATGTGCAAAATCTGAGCTAATTGCAGTGCAACTTTATACTTTAACTGCTTCTTATTAGCAACTTAACAGATGTCTGTGACTTCACACTCTGATGTTCAGCAGGTGCTGGGAACCCACAGGACTCAGTGAGGTGCAGGCTATTCTCTGTAAAGGACTTGTTAGAGCCAAGCTCCCGTGTTCCCTGCTCATGCCTTTGAAGATGCTATAAAAAGGTGATGGTAAGGAGTTGTTGCCATTTGATGGATCTGTAGGCCCAGCACGTGAAACATATTTATTTTTCAGACCCAGATCTAGGTCTAATTAGAGGAAGTGGCAATGTCAGCATCTATCAAGTATTAAAAGACCCAGAGTCAGTGGACTCTGACCCACTGACAGTCATTATCTGTGAAGGAGATGTTTCCATTGTAACGCAGAGAAAGCAACAACAGAAAAGACAAAAACATAGAAAACAGGGAGAATACAGAGGCTTAGCGAGGCACAGAATGACTTTCTGTAGTCTTCTTTGTCTAGACAAAAGACTGTTTTATACTGTAAGTAAAACAGATTTCCAGGAAAATATTCTGATCCAGACTTGGATCAGAAGTAGCGATCTCAATCTTTTGCATGCTCAGTGAATGAACAAACAGCTTTTACTCCAACAAGATTTACACTCCTAGAAAGTACCTTTTAGTTTGCATTTAAAACTGCTTCCTTAATTGAGGGATGGGTCTACTAGCAACTAAATGAGAGATCTTTCTGTGGGTTGATCTATAGGAGATTTCCTATATTAGGATTGCAGTGAAATAGTTTGTATGTTTGAACGTGCAGGCTGGTGAGCTGCATGTCCACCTATATGAAGAGAACATGTGGAATTCTGTGTGTACCACTGCTGCTCTTCCAAGCTTACAGGGTAGAGATTACTGAAAGATGATGGAGGCCATGAGATTGTTCTGTTTTCAGTGTCTTCTTTGAAGAAAAATAGTGCAAAACATGTTTGTGTGACAGATATAAAAGGGCATTTATTCCCTTTTGGCAAGGACTGCCCAACTATGATCTTCATCAACCTTCAGGCTACCAAGCACATACACTGGACAAACCTCTGGTGGTGCATAAAAAGTAGAAGGGAACAAAGAAGAGAGACAAGATATATTCAATGCCCAGGCAACTATAATAATACAAATAAGAGAATAAACACAGAAGAAAGATTTCATGATGCCTTACTCTGAGAGACACTTGTATTAATCCTCTTGTGAATGCATAAGATGCTTTTCCAAACTTTTCATTAGTTAGTAAGATAACTGTAGTACTTTGAGTACAAAAATATACTTTGTTCTGTCTTCCTTTGATGCACATATTACCTCATCTTGCAGCCTCTGAGGTGAAAAGCACACCCAAATGATAGCAAGGAAGGAGAAAAGAGGAAACCAGAATGAATCAATGATTGCCCTCAGCTTTGAGAAGCTCTCACATTTGACATGTAACTGCATATATGCCATAGAGATTCAACTCTCCTCCATACATTCAAAATATATCCAGAAAGCAAAAATAAACTGCCAGAACATACTAAAGAAATAGTCTAGCCCTCATTCCCTATGATAGATCATTGTACAACCAAGCTGGTATATATTTAGAGTATTTAGAGTAACCTCCATGCAAAAGTACCTTCCCAGCTTCTACTGATTTTAAACTAATTAGCCAATAGATAAAAGGGGATTGGAATCACATTGCATATAGTTTGCTCTCATGCAAGTCCCTTTGAGTGGAGACTTGTCTTTTGATAGCTTAGCCTCTTACTTAAAAGTATTAAGTTCAATGGTGGTGTAAAAAATCAAAGTTTAAAGGGAGTTCAGAAAGGAGCGATGAGGATACTAGGGGTGTGGGGAGCATGCTTTCCTAAGAAAGGTTTGGATAATAAGATTAGCGATATCTTGCAAGAAATGTAGCTATAGCCAAAGAGATTCAGTGGGTAGACTCACTATGGAGGGAGGTTTTCAGTCACATTTCAAGAAAATTAAAGGAGTTATCATCCAACAGCTCAGAACAGAATTCAATTTACATTGATAAATAGCTTGTGTATGTAAAGAAGGGCTCTTCTAGAGTAATGAGGTAATGCTACTAATGGTAAATGTTTTGGAAGAATGCTACAACAGCACTTGCAAAGCAGTCTCACAGGAAAAGCAGAGAAATTCAGCTGCCTGGGAAGTTTATGCTGCAACTGGACAGAGCTGGAAATCTGTGATAGAGCACTGTTTCAATTAGAGAGATGAGCCAGAAGAGCTTCTAGCCTTTCCCATCTTTGTATTTTATGAGTACAGGTGTTACAGGCATGCAAAGTAGCATATCTTAATTGTCATCTCCAAATCAGACCAGTTCCACTTGTGTTTGGTTTAGCATACTGTATTTTGATGAAGTTTTCATCTGATTTCCCTTAAGGACAACAGTAGCATTTCCATTCATTCAAGAAGTCAATCTCTTATGCTATTTCATTTACTATGAGCATAGAGAATTTAAAGTGTGAATTAAAACAATGGCGAAGCCTTTATTACATGAGGTAAATAGCTGCAGGAGAGCAAACCTAGAACTTTGACAGTACAAATAGCTGTTGACTGCCAGAGCTTTACTTATACACTGCTAAACTTCACTCCGGGAAGAGAAAGCTGCACAAATTGCTGCTGGAGCCTAGGAACTTCAAAGTGACTAACATGGAAGTGCAAATCAATACAGTAACCACATGAAACTTTTCAAAGGTATTTGATGCCTTCATATGTTCATTTTGAAAAGTTACCTCGCAAATTCCCACTAATCCTATCTTTCTTGAACTCTCAAGCCACTTCCTGAAAATAAAATCTAACAAGTCCTAGTGAATTGTTCTTATAACACAGAGATTTTGCCAGGATGTTCTTGGAGGATATGAAAAGCTTCATCTGAGCTGACTTTGGAAAAAAGTTAAAAGCTGCTATCATGCACCTATTGCCCAAGACCTTCCAGCACAGTCCTACTGGGGCAGTCTGTAAGTCTCTGCAGAACAGTCATTGCATGTGATCTTTCTCAAGAAATCTGCCCCTACTGTAAACTTCTCATTAAAATGTTGGAATTCTGATTTTGCTATTTTCTGCTCCTCCATAACATACCATAGTGTTCTGGAATCTGTATGTATAATGTTTATTTGCTTTCTAGCTTTGTGCTTGTTAAAAAGTTGAAAACGCTGCTATTAGCTTGTTGAAGTCATAATCTTTTTATGTATTTAGGATCCTGGAGTCACAGAATCATAGAATCATAGAATGGTCTGGGTTGAAAAAGACAACATTGATCATTCAGTTTCAACCCTCCTGCTGTGGGCAGGGTTCCCAACTAGACCAGGCTTCCCAGAGCCACATCCAGCCTGGAGTCCCCAGTCAAATCATCTGAACAACAATATTTCTGATTTTTATTACTCAATAATTATTTCCCGTGTTCTACCAGCTCATACTCAGTCATAATACATTCACTTGGCTGTTCTGCCATGTAAGATACTTCAGATATCTTTAGGCTTTCTGAAATGACTGTATATTGTACAGTGACCTGAACACTACGTTACAAAATACTGCTGACTTTAATGAACTTTTGGTAAGGGCCACATTTCCTAATGTCAGCATCTCAGAAAGAGTGCTGTAATAAGACCGCTCTAATAGGATCTTTTCAACTGTTAAAATGCAACAAAAAATATTTAAGTGTTTGTGTTAAAACATATTTCACAGTGTTGTCATACTTACAAAGTAACAAAAAAAGCAGAAATGTTTATAGTGGTGATTCCACAAAAATGCCTTATACTGTTTTGAAGGTTTGAAAATAAAAATGGATATTTCTCTTTCTAATGTTGTGAACTAAGAATCCACAGCTGAAATTCACTTTCATCTTCACTTTGACCTGTAGAGACATTTTACATTATTCAATACCCTTGATAAATCAAACATGGTCCATTTATTTAATTAGAAGAAACAACAGAAGGCTTATTTAAAAATGTTTATTGTAAAAAAGTGGCTAGAAAAAAACCATAAATTTCACTTCACGCTTTCTTCAAGTTATCTATAGATGCTGCTATAGGCAACAATTCACTTTCATTCATAACACATTCAGTCATATAAAAATAAAAATATTTACATTATGTCCACATACTTTACAAAATCATCAATAAAAAAGGCACTTGGAGGGGTAATGCTGAAAATATTGCATTTCCTTTGTGCATTTAACAAAAAAATAATTGTCAAACTCCCATGAGTCCCCTCTCTTGCACTTATTCCCGTTTTTAAAAAATAGCAAAGTTTAGAGGAACGATTCCATATTAGAAGATGGTCAGGCATGCACCAGGAATGTTTGAAGCTACAGTCTTCTTTTTTTTCCTTTTTCTTTTTTTTTTTTTTTTTTTTTTTTAATAAAGGCACATGCGGTTACTTCGTGGCTTTGAGTTTTTTGTACATTCTCTTACACATTTTCCTCTCTTAATTATCCCTCTTTAAAGCATTTTAGATCATTAGTGAAGGCCTTGGCTTTAATAAAATAAAACTTTTTTAAAAAAAAACAACACAGCAATGAATAATATTAAACATTTACTAAGGTAAACTTGGAATACTTTTTAAGGCACCTGAGATTAATGGTGTCTAGTAAAATTCACTTGGGTAGTATTTTTTTTTATCAAAAGTTCCATTAAAATACTGTTTCTTTGGTTGAAATGGCTTGGCAGGAATGTATCAGTAACTTTGCAGCCTTTCCTAAGCAAGAAAAGACTACACAGATTTGGCTTCATCTATAAAGAAAGCTGATAATGCTTCTTCCTTTAAATCTACTTGAAATGTCATGCATGGCATCTTTTCCCGTATCTCAGAGTTCACACTTAAGAATGTGAATGTGTAACTAAACAGAACTACTTAAGGCTCCTTTCTACTGACATTCTAAGTTCTTCCACTACTTTGTTTGTTTGTTGGTTTTTTTGGTTTTTTTTTTTTTTTTTGGCTGGAAAGTGGAAGAGAAAATGCCTTTGGATTTCCACTTATCATTTGGAACAGGAGTGGAGAAATGCATTGAGTCCAGGTAAACATTGACTGCATGACTCAGTGTGCTACACAGCAGCCAGATTCCTCATGTTTGTGCAGAAGAGACATTCTGGAGAAAGTTTTGGAGCAATTTTTGCACTGGTATTTCTTCACATCCGAGTGGGTCTGCAAATGAGCCCTCAGATTGGATCTGTCTGCAAAAGCCCTGTTGCAGTGAGGACAGGAAAACGGTTTCTCTCCTAAAAAGGAAACATCAAGCAAAAATACAATAAAGGGTTAAAAAAAGAAGTACAAGCTTAGGACAGGTAAAATTCACTGTTATCCTAAGAAAAAGAAAACAGACAGAAACGATTTATTATAGTCAAATACATGTGCAACACAAAGTTAATCAGGCCACAGATACAACAGCTTTCAGCACTGCGGATTGCACTTGCAGAACTTAGGCTTTGCAGAATCTGTTAATAACTACAGCCTCTGAAGACAAGTTGCTGACACCTTCTGCACGTACAGGTGCAGGCAGTAATCCTAGGCTGGGCTCCTCCCAATATTTTCACATATTTTCATAGTGTCTTTCTGCTTAGCTCCATGTGAATGACTTGAAATGAGGGCTTTGGCTTAGAAGTGGCAAACAGCTGTACAGATGTTAAATTGTACCCAGTGTTATACTGAAAATCATGCTTTTGCCTCAACATACAAGAAATGCTTTGGTGATGAAGTGTTGCTAATTCTTGAGGACTTGAGAGAGTGCATGCAAAACTTGCCAATTGCTTAAGGGATCAGAGATAAGCCTCTCATGCATTGCCTTTCTGCTTTGCTATTTAAGAGTCAGCTGAAGCCTTCTGAACATTATCATTTTCCAAAGCCTGAAAGTTAACATAAAATCCTTATAGCAACACCTTCAGCTAGTGAAAAGAGGTTATCAGAACAGAATCTGCCCCACAGTTATGCTCCCCACCCACCTACTCCTCAAAAAGGAAAAACTTGGCCATTTAACGATACATTTGAAATTTCATGTATGCATCTCCAGGCTATTCAAGAAACAGTGCTGTTTGTTCTACTGATGGAAAAAAATATCAGAAAGCAATAGCAACAGTCTGCAGCTCTTACCAGTGTGGGTTCTGATGTGCCCTTGAAGTAGCCAGGGTCTGGAGAAAGCCTTGCCGCAGATCTTGCAGACACAAGGTAGCGTGTGGGTCCTGATGTGCATCTTAAGTGCTCCCAGGCTGACATACTCCTTGTCACAGTACTTGCAGCTGAACGATTTCCTAGACTGGGCATCACAATGCAGCTGCTTGTGTTTGGCCAACCCAGAGAAAGTGGAGTAGGTCTTGTTGCATAAACTGCACTGAAACTTTTCAGCTTCGATGGCATGAGGGTCTGAAAGCTTGGACTGGATTCTCTCTTCTTCATCGCTAATGGGACTTTCTGAACCGCTGTGATCTTTGGAGGAGGTGTCGGATGGTGGAGGTGGGCTGACTCTTCCCAAAGATGAGGGGTATCCAGAAAGCGGAGAGAGGTCATTGGGTAGAGGAGATGGTAGCAGCCCGGTTGTAGTCCACACAGTAATGGGGTTGTAAGCTACAGAGCTCAGGATCTCTGGCTGCGGTATGATAGGGACCGGGTAGCTTTCATACAGGTATGGGGATATAATCACTGGAGAAAGAAGAAAATTTTAAGGTAAGAGAACTGAAAAGTATTTTAAAAGGCAGCAAAATTAACATTTGGGGCATTAAAAAGTGCCTAAATCAAACACTCAGAATGTTCATCTGCCTGTAAGGCGGATTAAGGAAATACGATTGGATACAAACATACTGATGGGTAAAGACAGTAGCCTGGAACAGATAAATTACAGCCTGAGAGTCTCCTCAAGGCAGCGTGCTGCTCCTAAATCTATGCAGCCTGATACAGTGCAGCAGTGAAACTTCCTGCAGGATTTGTGCAGAAGTTTCAACTCCATTTCCAGCAGATGTAGAACAGGAAAACTCCAAATCCTCTTTTAATAACTGAGTTCAAGTGGATGAGCAAACTTCATGATTCATTCCGAGCAGCGCTGACATATTTGTCAGAACTCCCTCATTGTAAGTACGGGGAAAAAAAAAAAAAAAGAGCTAGCGGGGAAATGACCCCCTCCCATAGCCCGGGGAGCAATCCCACCCCTCCTCTGTACCGCCAAGCCACAAACGCGACCTCGGAAGCAAAGCGGTGGCCGGAGATTTCCTTCTGTTACCTGTATGAGTGTCCAGTTCGCTGTAGTTTGGCTTCTTAGATGAATTGAAATGTTTCTTGACCAGGAAGGAGCGTGGCATTTTGAACGCAGGCTTTCTCCTTCTTGCAGAGTCTCCTTTCGGGTCGACGCAGCGGTGCAGCAAACACGCACACTATCACTGCGAGCGCATCGGTCCCTATCGCATTGTCTGCTCCATGCACTCCGCTGTGTAGTGGCACTGCAGAGGCGCCTTGAAAAGTGCCGTAAATACCCGCAAGTCAGGTGCAGGGGGGAAGGGTTTTCTGCTCCTCCAATCACTTCTGGATGTTCTCAAGCACTTTTCCAAACAGGCTGTTTTTCTGGGAGGGCTGCTCGCAGGACGGACCCAATCCCCGCTCGGAGGCTTTGCTTCAGGTTTCAGCTCCTCCCGCTGGAGACAGCTGTGCACAGAGGAGCAGAGCAGCCTGGCGGAACGCGCTGCGCTGCTGCAAAACGGGTGCGCGGCGCTCCTCGGAATTTCAGTCTAGCAAAATGCCTTGGTCATAGTGCTTTAACAATAAAAGGTCAGTTTACTGATTCAGCTGAGTTCTCTTTTTTT